ATCTGAGGCTTTTCTTTCCCACAGCTGTTTTCTGAAGTTGCTGCTCTTGCCAGATGTACAAACTGAGATGCTACTTAAAAATTTTTTAATATTTTTTTTTAATGATTTCTGAGAGAGGAAAAGAGAGGGAGAGAAAGACAGAAACATCAATGATGGCCCCAGATGGTTTGGCTCAGTGGATTAGAGTGTCTGCGGACTGAAAGGTCCTAGGTTCGATTCCTCTCTCTCTCCTTCTCCCTTCCTCTCTGAAATCAATAAAAATTTATTTTAAAAAAGATGAGAATCATTGATTGGCTGCCTCCTGCATGCCCCACACTGGGGATCAAGCCCACAACCCAGGCATGTGCCCTGACCAGGAATTGAACTGTGACCTCCTGGTTCATAGGTCGATGCTCAACCACTGAGCCACGCTGGTTGGGCCTTTTGCTTTTCTTAATAACATTTTCTTTTTCTCTAGCTTTACTTTATTAATGAAAAATATGTATTAAGCAACTATGTTGTCAGTTGGGCTTCTGGTCAACAGTAAGCTATTAGAATAGTCAGCCTTCCACACCTGTGGATTTTTAGTCACAGATTGAAACTGTTTGGGCCCTGGCTGGGTAGCTCAGTTGGTTGAAGCATCGTCCCATACACCAAAAAGGCGGTGGGTTGGATTCCTGGTCAGGGCACATAACCAGGCTGAGGGTTTGATCCCAGGAGGCAACTGATCAATGTTTCTCTTTCCCTCCCTTCCTCTCTCTAAAAGAAAACACACATTTGCCAACATATTAGAAACAAAAAAAGAAAAACACTGGATCCATGGATAGGAAATCCAAGAATATAAAGGACCAGCTGTAACTAAGTTTTTGGGGAGTCAAAAGTTATATGCCGAATTTTGACTCTGCGGGGGGTCAGTATCCCTAACCCTCATGCTGCTCAAGGGTCAACTGTATTCACCTTCATCCCTAATTTTTTGTTCCATTTTACTGTTTTCTTATGAAGGGCCCTTCAAATTGTATACGCTTCAGGGCCCACGCAACCAGGCCTGTGCTTGATCAGATGTCTATTACGTCCCGAGGGTTTGGAGGGGCAGTGTCCTCCAGATAGGGAAGGAATCAAATGAGGTTGCCCGGCAGGTGGGGGCACCAGGGCTTAAAGGTGCAGTCTCCTGCCCAGCGCCCCTCCTGTTGAATGATAACAGTAGCCCAGAAGTTCCGGATGACCGCCTGGGGGAAGAGGCCGAAACCTTTGATGATCAAGAGCTGAGGCCGGAGAGATCAGTGATTGGCCCAAGGCCGAGTACTGACCTCCAACAGACCAAACAGACCAGCTCCCTCCTTTGCCTGGAAGGGCACCCTCTCTGCTCCAGCCTCTGGACCAGGCTGGCAGCACAGCTGGGAGACTCCTCGTGCCATCTCTGAGGGCAGGTCTGGAGATGCCCTATCCTGGCCCCCGAACCCCCATTCTCCTTTGAAGAGGGCTGGGACTGACCTAGGCCCTTCTCACCGCCACCTCTCCCCAACCCAGCGATCCTACAAAGTGGCACGGAGGGCCAGTGGCAGCACCCGCTCCTGGCCAGATGGGGCTGAGTGGGCCCTTGGGGTCTGCCCAGTGCTCGTGCCTGGGCCCCAGACCAGCCACTCTCTCCCTTGCTCTAGGACCTCCCTCCCTCCTGCTTCCCCAATTCACAAAGCAGCAGCCCCAGCCAGGCTTGGCTTCCACACTGCCTTTATTCACACCTCTCCCCACCTGATGCTGCCGGCAGACAGGGACTGACCAGAGGCTGGGGGACCTCTGAGGGGGCTTCAGAGGGACCCCAACATGAAAGGAGAATCTGAGGCACGGGGCTCCCTGAGAACACAGGAGAGGGGGCAGGTCTGGGGAGAGCAAGGCAGGCCCCTTTGAGACCCACAGGTACATGGGGGCCAGTGCTGGCTGCAGATGAGGCTGTGAGGCCTGCCGCTGGGTGAAGTTTGCAGTGCCTGGGAGAAGGGGGGGCACCCTGCTGGGAATGAGGCTCCCTTTTCTGGGAGAAGGGCTCAGGCAGAAGGCTGAGGTTCAGACCAAGACAAGGCTGCCTGGAGAAAGGCTCAACCCTGCCCCCACCCCCTGCAGGAGTTCGGAGGACAGAGCCAGTGTGAGCTGGGCATCAGCTGCAGCTCAGAGCCTGCAGTCAGGCTGCTGCAGTGGGGCCACAATTCTCCTGGAGGCAGAGCTGCTGGAGTGCGATCACTGCCAGACCACGCAATCTGCTGGTGGTTAGGGGAGTGGGCTGGCCTGTGGGCCCTCGGGGTTGGGTGGCTCAGCACCCCATGCAACCTGAGGTGGGGTGAGGGCCTGGGGTGCACATATCCCTTCCAGGGTTCGAGGACAGTGTCAGGATGGAACTACTCTATCCCTCGGCTGCCCAAGAGGAGAATGCAACCAGCCCACCAACTCACTTTGGAACCCTTGGCCCATCTAGTGCAAATGAAGCCGAGAAGGGAGGTGCTTGCTCAGCAATACACAGAAAGTCCTCGTGACCTATGTAATCTGGCTTCTGGGGTCAGGGTGGGCCCGAGGAGTGGGCCAGATGGTGGGTAACACGCCAAATGCCCTCCCCAGGCCTCTCCTGTATGGGTCTCAGAGAACTTCCCAGGAAGAAGGGTCAGCCCTGAGCAGTGAGAGTGAGGGGGAAGACAGTGCCCACATCTTGGCCTAAAACAAAATCCCATCTTGAAAAGATCCAAACCAAACAGAAACTTGACCAGAACAACGGAGTCTCCTGGTGATGTAAGCCACGCACGCGCACATGCACACACAAACACACCCATCCGTGCGCACAATGTGTACTCACTCATGTTCTCAGTTTCGGTTACACATGTGGGTGGACACACACGCACACTCATGTGCATGCACATATACACACAAACAAGCACATGTACACACACACCCTGTGCTCCAACACCCTCTATGACCCATCTCCTGCCCGACAGAGCACCAGTGGCTGATGCCAGGGACTCAGTGTTGGCTGCTGACGTGGAGGGTGTAGAAGGCCCAGGGCTCAGGGACGTAGATGACGCCTGGGTACTTCTTCCTGAGTACAGGGTCACTCCACAGCCAGGCGACCCAGAGCGCCACCAGCAGGAGAGTGAGGGCGAAGGAGTAGAAGAGGAAGAGGCCGTTGCTGTCCAGGAAGAGGCGCTTGCGCTTCTGGTGCAGGACGAGGGCCAGCATGGCGAAGAAGGTGAAGATGAAGAGGATGAAGATCTGGCCCTCGGTGACCAGGTACCTGAAGAGGCCAGTGAGGTGAGGCGGGTGCTATGACAGCCCTGCTTGGCACCCTTCCCGCCACCCAGGTACCAAGCTGCCCCCAGTCAGAATAGCTCATCTAATGAGGGCGCTCAGGAAACCATAACGCTCTGAGCCACAGCCCATTTGGCTTGAATAGTTACTATTTTTTAAAATGTTGAGTTTTTTGCCAATATTTAAATAACAGAGTGCCTGAAAATGTGAATTTCTGGTTTGTCTGGTCACAATAGACTTGCATTCTCACATGACAATAACTGATTAGAGGGGAAAGCAGTGGCCCTCGTTAGAGCATTATTCTACAGTTTGCCACAGTCCCCACCATTCCCTGTTGCCTCGCTTGATGTCTGCTTGATACACTAACTTGGTTCCTATAGGCATTTGAATTTGGGAATGCAACTGCAATTTATGGGGGTTGTCGTTACTGTCTCCTTGCAGGCTGGGACACAGTCTCAGATCTCCCAGCGTTCCTTGCAGCTCCAAAGGCAGCACCTAGCACATGGCCAGGAACTCAGGGACACTTGTTGGAGGGCTTCAGAGAGGCTATCTGGTCCAATTCCCTGCCTCTACACCAGCGGTTCTCAACCTGTGGGTCGTGACCCCTTTGGCGGTCGAACGACCCTTTCACAGGGGTCGCCTAAGACCATCCTGCATATCAGATATTTACATTACGATTCATAACAGTAGCAACATTACAGTTATGAAGTAGCAACAAAAATAATTTTATGGTTGGGTCACAACATGAGGAACTGTATTTAAAGGGCCAGAAGGTTGAGAACCACTGCTCTAGAGAGAACCCCAATGCTGACCCATTCAGGAACTACAGCTCTGTAGCTGTGTGACCTTGGGGAATTTACATGACATCTTAAAGCCTGGTTTCTTATAAAGGGGGCATATGTGGCCCTATCTCTCAAGGTTGCTAACAAGAGCTGTGTCCTGTGCCTGGTGGCTGGTACTACTGTGGCTATCACAGCACTAACACGCTATGGCTACGAGTTGGGCAGGAAGCTCTTTCCCATGTCAGACCTCTTTCTCTCTTGCTGTAGTTGACACCCATTTCTTTTAATCCCGTCTTCAGGGGGCATACAGGTTCACCCTGGCGGACCCTCTCAGCCAGTCAGGGGACAGACCCTGGAGGGGGGCTGCAGCTGGCCCAGGGAAGGAGGTCCTTTCCATTTGATGAAGGCGTCCCATTAGAGAAGGGCCAGTCCTTCCTGTGACACCCACAGCACCACCCCTCCCCACACACACACCACCACCGGAGCCTGACTTCAGGGCGGAAGTGACAGGACGGGTAGAGCTTGCTCCTCTGTAATGGGAAGACAGAGCTGGAGGGAAGACAGGTGGGGAGCTCCTGAGGCCACGGAATTAGTTGTCATCACCACGTGCTTTACAGTCAATAAAGGCCTTCCCTCTCCCCTGCATTCTCACCATCTCCTGAGAGGGAGACAAGCAGGCATTTCCCCCATTTCACAGGGAAGGAACCGAGACCCGGGGCGCCACAGGGCGTGGTGTTAGAGATGGAGTTTCTTGCCCCAAAGTTGCACTGGGGTTCTGGGAGGCGGGCACAGGGTAGAGGGACATGCGGATGGAAAGAGCAAACTCAGGCCTGGCTTCCTGGTAACAGACAGGCCCCCACATGCCACAGTCCCCTCTAGAAGAGGAAGCAGGGCTCCAATAGGGAGGGTCGCACCTGCGGTCACACAGCAGCTCTGTGGTCAAGAGCACATTTTTCCTGCCTGGCTCACGGAGTGCGCCCTGCACCCTCCAACCCAGGTCCCATGTCCACTCACCAGTAGTACAGGCCACTGGGCACCACCAGGAGCAGGGCCGCCCCTGGCATTGAGCTCTCGGCTTTGGTGGGAGTGAAACAGCCGCTGAAGTACATGAAGAGGATGAGGAAGAAGGGGATGTACCTGCAACAGGGAAGCCAATGCCTCGGAGGCCTGCCCAGCCGCCCCTCCCAGCCGCCTCCTCCCCACCGATCCCTGTACTGGTTTCTTGCAACATCCCATGGAGTGTCACGGCATGATTTACAAAACGCTGCTTTGGGGAGCACACTCAGTCCCTGCCAGCCTTTCCGGTGCTGGGCTCCAGCTGGGGTAGGCAGGAAGTGGCGAAGAGGCCCACATGCAAACCGGAGGCCGCAGGCTGGCGGGGATGGGGCTGCTCCTTCCACACTGCTCTGGCCGCCTCCTTCACTGTGTGTGAGGGTGCCTCTGCCTCAGGCAGAACCCCACAGTAGCCCAGCCTCTCACTGGCCTGGAAGGAGGTGTGTCGCAGCGAGAAGCCTGGGGTCCAGGTGAACAGAAAGAACAGCACCTGCTGGGGGCCTCCAGGGAGCTCTGTGAGCCCCTTCGCTCACACTCAGCCCACAGCCTCACCCTCTTCCACGCACACATCTCCCCCGAAAGGACCCCCACCCTCCTCCCCGCACACAGGCTGCTCTGCCCACGCACCCCTTCTCTTCTCACACCCCATTTTGTCTCCTTCCCACCCTCATGCCCCCCAACAGGTGCCCCTACATCCTATGTCCTCTCCTATTTCAGGCTTCTGGGCCTCTCTCCTCCATCCCCAAAGACTGCGGCCTGACACGGTGGCGGTCGCGGGGCATGTTTATCAGCAGGATGACCTCTTTCTCCATGGGTTTCAGGCTCTCCGGCCGGGCGA